ATAATCTGTTAATTTCATGAACTTCATTTGATGAAGGGTTTCATGGTATGGATGGAGACGATGTTGTTTTAAAATAGAACAAACGCAGTACCTAGAAGGCCCTATAGGTACCTATATCGCTCACTGGTTGTAATAGTGACACATCTCTAAAAATAGTCATTTTTACTTAAGTGTGCCATAACATTAGCAATTTTTTGTTTTATCAACCAACAATAGTGGCACATAGGTACTTATCTTATTCTGGTACCGCTAGTTAAAACTAGTGCCACTATTGAATTTCGCGTGTTTGTTAACGATAACACTGCAATACCGATACAGAAACTCAATGTGTCAGTGTCCATCGCAGAGTGAAGAACGTAAAAATACTCAAGAGTGGCATATTTTAAATAGTGAGCTCAGGTAAGTTAATTATTATACCTACACGGATAAAAATGTGACTACAATGTAGAAATATACCTAACTTAACTTTTTGTAGAAATAAATTTAACTTTTTGTAGAAAATTTTACTATAAACTATAATTTATAGTTAAAAACTATTAATTTAATTATAGCAATTGAATTGTCGAATAAAATGCTACAACCATAGGAAAGAAGACGACAATGTTTAGTATATTTTACTATTGTTTGTAGAAGTAGAAATTTATTACAATTACTACTACTAACTTTTGTTAAAAAATACATATAGGTATTTATAATTATCTCTACAAAAAAATAGTAATTTTCTCTACAAAAACTAGTAATACTTTACATGATAAAAATTCAATTTTGTTGAAAAATATTCTATACCTAATATTGTAGAAATTTTAAGTCATGTGAATAAAACAAAATTCTGCTATTGGCCAACGTTTTCTGACGTCGACCATAAATGGTCAGACAAGAGGTAGCCGTTCGCCATGTTTCCAAAACAAAGCATGGTACAAATATATAACACATTATTATATTATAAGCAGTTAACTTCTACTAGTGGTAAGTAGATTTATTATTGTTTCTGAATAATTTACCTTTGGATAACTAATTTAAATAACCTCAGTAGATTATTTTAATAAAAATAGTTATGGCCAACGATGGAATGTTGTGCAAAGTTCGATGGTGTTTTTTCGTTTTAATTGTGACATACCTATTTTCTTATTTTTTTTAGTTTTCTTACGTGGTCATTTAATATCCCAATCACTGTACTAGTGATAGATATCCCCGTTTTATGGGTATGGGCAGTTCAATAGGTATTAATTTTTATTTAAAATTTTTTATAAGCAGCAAAGCCAACTGAGATTGAGGGAGCTGTTTTTAGTGTTATTTATTACATAATGTAATTAAGACTTTGTATCTTTTTTTATTAAAACAATAAATTTTGAATATTTTTTAAGAACATTTTTTTTAGGTTATTATAATAATTGTGGAATACTACTACAAAGTTTATTAAACATTACGTACTACAATTTGTTTGAATTTTTACTACTTATTGTGTAAAATTTTTGTATTAATTTTCATGAAACGCAATTCATTTTTAATATAAATTCATACAATGAATAGCATAAATTATATCAATTTGTAAAACAATGTTTATAATGCATATGGATATTTTTACTACATATTATAGATAATACAATACATTCTCTACAAATATTTGGAAATTTTTACTACAAATTTTCCCTGTCCCTATATGTAGGTACTATTTATTTTAGAAAAAAATTGTATAATTGTAAAATTTGTTATACAAGTTTTTTCCGTGTAATTTTAGTGAAACAATATTGGGGTCTATTCTGTAAAAATTCTTTTATATTTAACGGCCTTTAAAAATATTTTCTTCTTTACTTCTGTCATTATTTAAACGGATCTTTAAAATACAGGAATATCTTAAAGAAATCTGTTTAAATAATGACAGAAGTAAATTAACGAATACGAACATATTTTTATAGGCCGCCAATATTTTTAAAGGCCGTTAAATATAAAGGAATTGTTACAGAATAGACCCCATTGTATGTTAAAATGTTATTACGAATTCTAATATTATTGGATCAATGAAAATTGTGCCAGTATTGCATATTTAATTATTGGCATTTCTAAAATGTTTCCTTATTTCTTGTTAAAAGTTTTGCAATAGAGTCATTTATTTGAGTTAGATTTTATAATTTGCCAGAGCGTTGTTTCTTAAATATTGTTTGATAATCTGAAATTTTCCGAATTATTGATACAATTAATTTTTAATTTATATTTGTATTTAATATATAACAGACTACCTACACAAAATAACAATGTTTTTCCTTTATATTTCTAAGCTTTAAGTTTTTGTTTAATAATGTAAATACAATAATCTGGTTTTCAGTTTTAGAAGTTTCGCAAATTTAATCGATTAATGTGGTAAAACTTTTTTTTTTATTTTATTCAAGGGGCACAAAAATGATGTTATGAAATACCTAAATTAATAAAAGACACTTCTTCTAGCCCTAACGCAGCAAGCTGAAAAATTGCATTAGATTCGTCCTACAAAGATATTATACCAATGTCTAAATCTAAGTACCTGATGATTTTGTTAAAAAGTACCTTGTTATTAAAAAAATATTACGGTCACTTTTATAATAGCCTAAAATGTATCAAAGAATAAAGAACAGTTTTTGTCCTTTTTTTTTTTGTTTTAGAGTAGTAGTTTTGTTCATTTGCAGATTGGGATTTTTTGTTATTTTTTATGTTAGTATTTTTAATTTATTATACCGGGTGTTCAAATTAAAGTGTTACAGTTAAATACCGCTGAAAATATGCATTTTAGAAAAAAAAGTTTCAGACAAAAGTTTTATAGTTTTTTGGGGGAAACATTTTGGCTTAATTTATTTTTTATAGCTGACCTTAATATGGCCATATCGAGGTGGACTTTGTTTTTTTAAACGGGAATCCCATTTTTTACATATTCTTAAAGTACATAAAAAAATAAGAAACTTTTGTTGAAAATATTTTTTTTATGGACTTTTACTTTTTGAGTAACAGCTACTTGAAAATTTAGCTAAGCGAAAAAAAAGTTGGCCATATTATGGTTAGCTATAAAAAACGATTTTAGCCAAAAATTTTTCTTCACAAAACTATAAAACTTTCGTCTGAAACGTTGTTTTTTATAAAAGGCGGTATATAGCTGAAACACTTTAATTTGAACACCCGATATAAACTTATACAGTTACAGAACCATATTTGAATACCCATTTTTGTAATTAACTGTTGCTAAAACTTTAAACTGCAGTTATATCAATACTTTCCAATTAAGGTGTTTTATTTTATTCATAAAAATTATTTGTAAAAAAGTTAACAACGGCATAACTGGTTGTTTTTTCCCAAAATAAAGTTAAAAAAAAACATTCTGTCAATTTAATACCTAATTTAAACATATATCAATATCAGACTTTCAATTAAGTAACAAAATTGATATAGAATATATACCTATATCTTTCAAATTTATTTTACAAAGCGGTGATTTTCTCAAAACTAATAATTTTGTGATGTGCCACTATTGCACCCACTGAGCAATATGTTGATTATCAGCAACGTATGCTAATATATTTCTTTCGTTAATTTGAGTTCTGCTTCTTCGACGTCTTTTAGGTTAAAAGAAACCGGGTGTTTCTTTTAAAAGATTTTTAAGATTTTTAAATGTTTCTCTTGACTGCCGAATTCGCTAAGGATATTTCAATGCATATTCTCTTGAGGCAATCGGGGCATTCTCAAACCATTCAAAATATACTTTTAACATGTCATCTTCGGAATTAGTGCAAGGCATTAGTATTTTTCACTCATTAAAATATATTTTTACACATATTTATTTGACATAAGTTTATTGACATTTAAGAGACAACTAGATAAATATAAAGAAATTTACCTATTTACTATTAATATAAAAGTATGATGTTTAAATTTAATATTATGTGTTAGAATTCTGTAAGGCATTAGGTACTCTATTGATGTTCTATTTTCTATTTTGTTCTGTTTTTATAGTTACTTGTTTTGTATTTTAATAATATATTCAATTTTTATTTCACATTTTTAGTTAAATTAAACCAGTGAACTTACACTAAAGAGTTAATTAAAATCGGATTTTAATAATTTTGTGGATTCATCACTACAGCTATAATATAAGCTATCAATAATTACTGACGTATTACAGCCAACTAGATTATTATACAAAAAGTTGTATATATTAATATCTATAGGTGGACTATCCACCATAACAAGACCCAAATTTTGCTGTTTCTTGTTAAAATTGAATTCTCTTTCTAAATAACGTATATACAAATTATAACTTTCCATTTAAAATTTTCAACAAACTTTTGAAGAAATGGTTAATATTTAAACAACGCCACCTAGTGCTCGTTTAAACAAATGGATCAGAAACTATGTTGAAATATTTTACTAAACAATCAATTTGCTTATAATCGAATCTAAGTTTTTCAAAATCTGATGAACGACACCGTAGTTTTAATAGTTTTATTTAATTAAGGTTACCAATCGCCCCTACCAGTTATTTTATTGAATAGAGTAAAAAGTGTTGGATAAAATTTTTGTAAAATTTGTTTAAAATTACCGTTCTTTTATTATTATCATACTATTGGACATAATGTATAGGTGAAAAGTGATTTTTTGCATTAACATAGCGAATTACGCCCTCTAAAAATAAAAACATTTTCTCTTGATCGACTTTTTTATATTTTTTTAAAGTTGTAGGTTTTTGAGATAAAGGTACCCGTTAAGAGTTCTTCATCATTACTTTAAAAACAATGTACCTACCTAACCTAAGTTACATTATTTAGTAGGTACCTAATCAACGAAGATTATGCCTAATAACTTTGAAATAAATTCTAATTGTATTAGTAAAGTTTATTTATACAGCATCAAGTTTAATCCAATGATATTATATTCCTTATACTTGAAAATAGAGATACACTAGATATTATTGGTAGCGATCCTTATTTATGTGATAATTTTTTAATTATTTGATACATAATCGAAAACTTTCTACTTACATGCTCCTGCTACGTGAACTTTTTTCATCCAAGCATAAATCGGTCTATCCCCATCCCCATCATCATCGTCGTCTTCGTCATTATTTATTGAACTACACTGATCGTCAATATCGTCAGGTTCATCGGACACACTATCTTCTAATCTGAGTCCTAATTCTTGTAAGGAATGTCCTGGAGGCGAGCCCCTAGATTCTTGTCCGTGACCTGCCGAAGCAGGACTACACACACTAGAGTTCACATCACTCGGCTGCGTAACGTTCGGCGAAATGTCTGAAATATTTTGTAAAATGTTCGAGGAACCACCGACGGTAGATTGATTGTGATTATTTGGTATCGTTCCACAATTGACAAGATTTTGACTATCGTGTATTTGTAAAGGCGGTCGAATTTGATGGGAATGTATAGGTGGTGCGTGATGCAACTGATGATGATAATAATTACCATAACTTCCGTATCCGGTACCAGCGAGCGGCATACCGCCTGAGCCGTAGGACGTCGCCTGATGGTGATTGTGGTAGCCATATTGCAAATGGTGCTGCGGCTGATTCAAATGATGATTCCCGAAAAAATTTTCAGTCGGCGAGGGAATATAACTGTTTTGACTGTACTCTTCACTAGGCGGAAATTTCGGGTCAACCACTACACCACCAGATATGTGCTGAGTTTGCTGATAACTCGACGGCAAAGCCCCAGAAACAGGGTTCATTAAAAACGAACTCATGATCATTAATTTTTCTGAAGCTCTACGGTAAAAGCTCTATAAGTTGCCAGAGTTTACGGTGGGGACTTATAACGTACTAGGTATTACATTGGAGTTCTTTTTTCCAATCCCCTACTATATGTGGCTCTCTCTTACTCCAACCCGCGTGCACGCCCACAGCTCGAAATTAACTAACCACGTGATCCACGGAACTCCAATAGCAATGCGTGACGTCACTCACCATGATGGATGACGGCTGGCTGGCGCCTGAGTGGGAAAGGCCACAGCACGCGGTAACTCTCACAACGTTGTTCTCTGGGCTTCGACTTATTCAATGTTATCACTTATCACACAATCAAAACAATAATAAAACTAAATCAGTTTCGTTAATTATTTACGATATTTTATCACGGAATTAAATTAAATTGCATATCACGAAAAATTTCACACAACAAACAACAAAATCGCGCCGAAAATTTACGATTTTTCATTAACAATATCTCCGTTATTTACTACGATAAATAACAAATTATTAATACCAATGACATCGAAGCAGAACGTAACCTTTCACTTCGAATGTTGGATTCGAACTAGAGGACGGAATAAAGGATTGGAATTGGAAACACTTAACTCCTCCCACTTTATTTTGTTGGCACTTATCAGGCAGTTTTACCTTTCTCTTACGCATCCCTCTTCTGGTCTCGTGGGAGAAAAAGGACCGAAAAAGCTCTTTACCCGTCGTCGATGTGAGTCCCACGAGAGTTTTTGATCTTTTGATGAAAAAGTAGCCTATGTGTAGGTAGAAATGAATCTACTGTTAATTGAAAAAAATAAGAAATTATTTTTTAGTAATTATGTTTTGTTTGAGCGAAAATTTACAAATAATTTAATAGCTAGACTGTATATTTTTTGTCATAACAAATTTGATATGGTTTCCTGCCCAATGATCACAAATTCGTTTTTTCAACATAAATATAACGTTCTATAGTATAAAACAAGAAACGGTTGAAATTTTAGTTGAAAAATTATACATATAAAAAATACTATTTTCTGACGTATTTTCTAGCTATTATTAATTTGATTAAATGATACATTTCTTTTATATTTCGCTTTGTGAGTTATACGTATCGTATCAATATTATTTTAAATTCGAGAGACGCTAAAATGGTTGTTCCCACCTTATCGAGACTGAGGCTCACAATGGTAAGCTCGTAGCGTAACAAAAACGAGAAATGAATTAACCTGGAACGAAATACCGAAAGCCGATAGTAGTATTAGCACGTTGAATTTTTTGGTTTGTGAAACATTGGCATTACTTAAGTTAAACCAAGTGATGAATTCCCAAGCCTTGATTTTTAAAACCATTCTATATCGCCTTTTGATTAGGGTTTAAAAACTTTATTCAATAATAATTGGCCCCTTTACCTCTTAAGCCTGCTCATGTAAAATATTTGGGTTCTTTACTTCGCCTATTTATATTCTATTAATAAAGGACAAAAGAAATAAATTGGCTTTCAGTTCAGAATTATGTTCAGTACATAACTGATATTTATTTATAAAATAAAAATGATATAGTACCATCGCATCAGATCTATTAGAAAAAATTCAATATAATTCGCAATATCACAACAAGAAGCCAATCTGATTTTCATGTACGGCAGCCATCACTAAAAGTTCCCAAAATACAATTTGTATTAAAGGTTTAAAAAATTTAATAGACTGCCTAACGAAATTAAAAAAAAAACAACAATAAATGTATTCAAAAGTAACCTCAAACAATACTTGATAAATAAACAAAACGGATATACTTTCTTGTGATAATACTCTTTAAACCTGCTCTTTTTAAGTATTTCCCTTAATTTATTGTTATTTTACACCTCGTTTTATCCGCATTTATTATAGATTATTTGTTTTGAGATCATGTACTTTATTTTAAAAAATTACTTGATGTTATATTATTACTACTTACTATGTTTAAATTATTAATAGTTTTGCAACGATAGGTTATAGCAACCTATAGCCACAAAACTATTTTTGTGTTAAAGTAAATCCATAGAGAGCAATGTAATTTACAAATGCCTTCTTTCAACATACAAATAAATGACAACTTTATAATTAAAATGAAAAACACAACAAAATACCTCGGTATCATAATTGATCCAAATTTGAAATGGGCATTATATCCTACCTCTCTTTTATATAATAAAAAAGTACTTTGTATAAAAACATTATATTAGAAAGTTATTGCAAATTTCTATAACGTCAGCCACTAATAGTTACAACGTAATTAAAGGCAAATCAATTCCATGCTAAAATAAGACTTATTGCAAACCTGAAATTTTGACATTAGAGTACTTGTCCTTATACATATTTCTAACCTTAGTTTAAAAATTTTAAGTTACAGTTCATCTTTTTTGTTGTTTATAATAGGTAGTACATAATGTGGAAGAGCCATTAGAAATTACCATTTTAGAAGGTTTAGATGACGATGATATTAAATATTTAATATTAAAAAACTTCGAACTGATACGAATGTTGGCGAGCGCATCCGAAAACTATAAGTCGCCACTAACTGCTGTTCTTAAACATCCACAATTAAGGACAGACACAATCTTTATTAAAGTCAGGTCTAGAATGTAAGTGATCTGCGCATGCTCAGATGTCAAAATAAGTGCGACACTAATAGTGACAGACCTTACGTGAACTTGCAATAATTCTCTATTATCTGTCTTGGTGTTCCTTTATTTATGGAAAGCCTGAATTGAAATACACTACAAATTATTTGCAATATATATCAAAACAAGTACACGGAAAAAAATGTGACTAGAAAATTTTTCTACAATGTTGTAGTAGTAGACTTGTAGAAAAATCCTTAACAATTTGTAGAAAATTTTACTACAATTTATAGTTAAAAACTATTAATTATTGTAGCAATTGAATTGTCGAATAAAATGCTACAACAATAGGAAAGAAGTCCACAATGTTTAGTATATTTTACTATTGTTTGTAGAAGTAGAAATTTATTACAATTATCGTAATTACTACTACTAACTTCTGTAAAAATTTGTACACATATTAATAATTATCTTTACAAAAAATAGTAATTTTCTCTACAAAAAATAGTAATACTTTACATCCCTTCTTCAAAAATATTCTATAATATTGTAGAAATTCTAAGTCATGTGAACAAAACAGAATTCTGCTATTGGCCAACGTTTTCTGGCGTCGATCATAAACGGCCAGACAGCAGTAGCCGTTTGCCATGTTCACATAACAAAGCATGGTACATATACGAGTACCTATAACACATTATTATATTATAAGCACCGATGCGTTTAAGAAAATTTTAATAATAAATTCTATTGGTGGTAAGTACATTTATTATTGTTTCTGAATAATTTACCTTAAGATAGCTAATTTAAATAACCTTAGTAGATCATTTTAAAAAAATAGTTGTGGCCAACGATCGAATGTTGTGCCCAACGATCGAATTTTGTGCCAAGTTCAACGATTTTTTTTTTGTCTTAATTGTGACATACCTACTTTCTCATTTTTGTTAGTTATCTGACTTAGTCATTTAATATCCAAATCAGTGTAAAGGTGATAAATATCCTCGTTTTAAGGGTATGAACAGTTCAATTGGTATTAATTTTTATTTCATATTTTTCAGGTGCAGAAAAGCCAACTGAGACTGAGGGCGCTATTATTACTGTTATTTATTACATAATGTAATTAAGACTTTGTATATTAAAACAATAAATTGAATATTTTATTAAGGAACATTTTTTTCTAGGTTATAATTATAATGATTATGGAATACTACTACAAATTTTATTAAAAATTACTACAATTTGTAGGAATTTTTACTATTTATTGTGTAAAATTTTCGTATTTATTTTCATAAAACGCAATACATTTTTAATATAAATTCATACAATGAATAGCAAAAATTATAACAATTTGTAAAACAATTCTTATGATGCATTTGGATATTTTTACTAAATATTGTAGATAAATAACTCTACAATACATTCTCCACAAATATTTGGAAATTTTTACTACAAATTGTCCCTGTCCCTATGTGTACTATTTGTTGTAGAGAAAAAATCTATAATTGTAGAAATTTGTTCTACAATTTTTTTTCCGTGCGTTCAGTCCGTTCTCGGTATATCGGCAGGAAGAGACAAGCAAAAGCAGTAATTTGTGATTTGATTTAATTTGTAAAATGTAAAAAGCGAAAAAGTTTTATCATTAAGATATCAGAAATTCCTTTTTCGATTTTGATGGAACTTGGCAAGGCTATTTTGAGTACTGAGGGTTAAATGTTTAAGATTAAAATTATTTGTTCCAGTGGCGTTAAGAGATATTTCTAACAAAACACATGTATGGCAGTGTTTTTTGATATTTTTATTAAATTAAGAAATAGAAAACAAACATTTTTTGTACCACATTTTGGCAAATTAAACACAATTAAAATATCTTTTTAGGTATACCTTATTTTATTTAATTTTGTTTGGAAATTGATAACGCGCATGCCCCAAATGTTTTTTGTTTTAAATGTTTTTAATGAATTTTGACAGTTTTACAAAGGATTCGGGAGACTGAGTCATTTTTTGCAACAATTAAAACTGCCTGTTCAAGGTAACAAAATAGTTTTTAACTGCAAGAAAAATACTGTTTAACCACTAAAAACCTACTTTTGAATCATAAAAAACTACTTTTTAGTGAGTAAAATTTTACTTTCTAACCACTAAAATTAATAAAAACTAAAAAGTACGTGTTTAGGGACTAAAAAGTAAGTTTTTTAATGAATTTTGACAGTTTTATAAAGGATTCGGGAAACTGATTCATTTTTTGTTGCATTTAACAGTATAACCTTAGCTTTTACAGACCTTAAAAACCTAAATTTAAATATTTCTCAAAAATACCTGACATGAATTTTTATCTAAATTCTTAACTTACTGAGCTAGGGGAGGGGGTTTTAGGATCCACGACTGGTGTTCAAGTTTATTAAAATTCGAAATTTG